TTTTAAAGTTTGCCGATTACAGGCTAGTATGGCTGGTGCTTCGAGTTCGGTCGCTTCTGCGGAAGGCAGTTTGTTTAAACATTTGAGTCTGTTTTTTTGAAAAAATCAGTGTAGAATTAGATAGGGGAAAAAACTAGTGCTGTCAAATGATTAAAATTTTTAATCAGATTAATCACAGGGTTCCTGTGGATTAATTTTGATTAATCATGATTAAATATCATTCATTTTTAATCTATATTAATCACATTTAATTTTGCATGAGCAAACAGACTCAAGAAAAAAGGAAATATATATGCACTTAACATGTTTATTGAACATCTTGAACATGAGTCGGATGCATTCCATCTGCCACAGAAGGCAATACCATGGACCCATATCAAAAAGCAAGATTTTTTGCTTAGCCGGACAACTTGTCGAATTTAAGGTACCTCAGTTTAAATGGTCTTTATCTTCGTTCGCTTAGAATTAGCACGAACTACCGTAAATCCGACAAATAATCCAACTAATCATGAAGTCCAATTCTAGCCCGGTTAATTGCCATTGTTTGCAATATCAGTTGATAACACATTACGTGCGGTGCTTTACATATAAAACTCCGTAGCAACACATCCACAGATAAGTTGGACGGTATAGCGTGTGCGACCGATTTAATGAGTCACAAATGAGAAGTAGTACTTAAACAGTATAAGACTACAACTTTCCCTTCTGTTGATAAAGGGCGCAGCCATCTTGGATTCTGAACTCGGGATCCTCTGTGCTGCTCCGAGGTATTTCTCGGATGTCCGAGAAACGGGAGCGCATGTAGCCACTTCCGGCCTCAAAACTCCGGAATCCGACTCGGAATACAAGTTCCGAGGGGAAATGGAACGCACTAAAACTACCTGAAATGGGTTGACAGAGACATTTCAGTGATTTTGAATCATTCTGCGCTGCAGATGGGTTAATTGCGTTAAAAATTTTAATCAGATTAATCATGATGATGGATTAATCCGCGTTAACCCGTTAATTTTGACAGCCCTAGAAAAAACACACATTTTTATGTGAATTATGCCCACCTGGTTTGAAAAAACAAGTCCGGATGTCAGTCACATCTGCATCCAATTTGAAACGACACATCGAGTTAAAGTATCAAAGCAGTTTTAGGGAATACCTTCATCTTAATGCTGAACACAAAAAAATTATTAAAGTATAAAACTATGAAAAAACAACCACAAAGTTCACTGTTAGCATAACATGACACAAGTGGAAAGATAGATTCTCAACCTCAGAATTGGTTTTTAATGTAACAATCTTTTTAATGAAACTCATGGCTCTGATTGTTCTGTGGTATATGACAGATAGGAGGAGAAAACTGAAGGAGGTTCAGATAGAAAGACATGTTGAAAATGTTAATAAAAACAAAAACAAACCAATGAACGTGAACTAGTTCATTTTTGGAGCTGTGAATTTTAAAAAATGAACTATGAACATGAACTAGTTCATTTTTATTTGAATAAACTGAACTTTGAATTAGTTTTTTCAGTGTGAACTGGCACAACACTGCACACTGGTACTAACTGGGCCTCTTGTTTCCCAGTTGCCACCACCCAAGCTGAATCCCATCCTTGTGGCCTTTGGAAACACAGTGAGTAAAACTTCAAGCCGGGAGTTTCATAATGGCTTGTAAATACAGATACAGAAACGCATGATTAACTCCTGAATTGTTCTCTTATTTCTGTTTGGTTTCTTTTCCAACAGCCTTCACGCCATGTGCTGGAAATCATAAAAAAAGTCAAATCCAGGTATTACATATTTTTTATTTAGCCTGAATTTTGTTTTGTGTAACAGTAGGTTGTAACAGCACACAAAATTCACATTTCAGTATGCTCTTTGGTTTTGAGTTCCTGGTTTTGTGCAATTTTGGTGCAGCAGGGAAAACCAGGATTTGTTTTGAATTTTTTTTATTTGCAAAACTGCAAATAAATATGTAAATTAAGTAGACATTCAAATAAAACTGCAACATAATCAACATAATGAACTAAATGCTGTCCAAATCCTGCATTCTCTACTACCAAATACAGTTGTGTATCTGTAGAAATAAGTACCCCTAACAGCTGTAGCCTTTTTTAAAAAAAAAAAAACACACACACAAATATATATATATAAAATGTATTTTATTATTTAAAAGCCTGATCTGAATTTCCAGGCATGAGCTCCTTAAATGCCATGGGGAAATGAACTTACTGGAGTAGTACACACCCTCGCATGATGTCCTCTCCGATGAGTTGGCATGTTGGATGTGTTTTCAGCAACACATCCAAGCTCGGTTTAACAGCCAAGACTGGTCTTGTCAACTACTCTCTCTCCAGTCCAGGTGTAATATATCGGGAAAGCAAAATATTCTCAAACTGCCAATTCTGACTGACTGTAACCAGCTCACAGCCGCAGCTAGCGTAATGTTTTCCATGTTGAACATTTACTTGTGAATTTGTGTTCTGCCTGTGTTGAGAAATGTATTAATTTCTCTCATTGTATGTAGAATGTAACCGGACTGCATGTGATAAATGCATGTACCATTACAGCTCTAGTCTAAATTAAAATGTCAGTTGTTTTGCATAGCAAGCAGTCCGAATATGCATCTTTTAACATTAATTTGTATCATTAATACTGATTAATTTATATCCTTACCTTGCCATTTCTCTCCCATAGTACATACCTGCACATGATTCATTTCATGCTTCTCCAGTCCTGGGTCATTGATACTGAGAGGGCTTTTCTGACTTTGTGTGTCCTTTACACAGGCTATTAAAGATTTTGTATGAAATGGGGAGTCTTGACTTGGCTCGCTGTGCTTTGCTGATGGTTGTTTGTTGTGTTCTAACCATACAGTGAACTGGAAGTGTCCCTTCTGGTGCTGCCATTCCAGTACATCCCTGACCTGCTCGCCCTCTTCAATGGGTTCATCCAGGATGGCCTAGAGGTTGAGCTGGTCTGCAGATGCCTCTTCTTTTTGCTCAGGTATGTATCATTTGAACCAGGGCTGGTTTAAGCCTCTGGGCTCTAGGGGTAGGGACACACTTTCACTGACTGGGGCATGGTCACACATTTCATTCAATATCATAAACTTAATTCATGGAAAATATATTATTTCTTATATGTTTGTTTTGGCATTAAACTCATCTTAATCTTAGTGTATTTTGTAAATATGTCAGATTTATGTGAAGTTTGTAATTTGACATCAAAGTATAGATATTGCAAAATGCTGTTTGGAACACTTGCAGAAACATTATAAAAGTTTATAGTAAGCAATGGTGGAAGTTTGTTTTGATGCCATGTATCTGATCACCAAAGTCTCATGAAGATGACTAAATGGTGTAGTTGCAACATTCAGCGGGATAAATAAATAAGAAAAACCTAACTCCATGTCACTATTTCTGGCTCCTTTCATTGAATATGTAGTAGCTTTCATGTGTATGAATGAGCCATTGACAGCTGGCCACACCCCCATACCCCCCTTTTATGGGGCTGATGGGGATGTATCTGGATCGCGTTTCACCATTGCGTTCATCAAATTACCATGCGAATGCGATGAATATGCGCTAATGCGGCTATTTAGAATGGCTATTTAGAATACCAATAGTGATCTTCAGGTGAGGGTGGTACTACACGCCCCCAATGCAGGTAAAACAAAGTAAGGTGACATGGTTTCATTTTTTGCCTATTTAACCTAATTTTAAAAACTTTAATACTTCTGACAATGGACACTTTGAAAAGAAGACAGATTATGGATTTAGTCAGTGTTTTTTTTTCTTCATGTTTCTACAATAAGATTTCAGCGAGTTATGAACTGAAATACACAAGAAAGATACGTGGCATCGCCAACGATGCCCTCGTCCCCAGAGGGTTAAAATTAGTTTGCAGAAGTTTTTCATGGTTCAGCCAGATGTTAGCCATTAAATGCAAGTTAGGTATATGGTGGTCATGTGCTGTTTATCCAAGGTCACATAGGCGTAAGTAGTTTGATATTTATAATGCTCAAGTCTACAAATGAATGTAGTTGTATGTATTCTATGTTTACTTTTGTATACTATTCTTTTTTTCTGGTAATAGTCCTACTAATGAAAGTATCATGCTGTGTTATTAGAGATGCATAAGTAGTCTCTTCCCCCCACTCCAGAATTCACTTTGGCAGGATATCCAGCAATCAGATGCTGCTGTCAGTTATTAACGACCTGAGGACAAACACAATCTCCAAAGTGCGGGAGATTAGGGTGAGTGATTCATCAGGAGAATTGGTGGGCAATTGGGAAGCCTTTTCTCAGATAGGGTGTGCAGTTCTGGGATTGTGACCACCCTTTGGTGGGGTGAACTGCGAATCTTTCTCATTGGAATTGACTGGCAGTTGTCCTTTGTGAAAGGCCCAATCTGACTTTCTTCGTTCTCTATCAGGATGTACTTGGTTTCAACAGCGCTGGGCTACAGTACCTGCAGCGTGAAGTCGAGGCCAGGGAGGATGTGATGTTCTTTACAGATGCCACTGACCGTTTTGAAGAGAAGAGGAGGAAGAGGAAGAAGAGGGAGAGAGCCATCCTCACCATTGCATGAGATGGACCTCTCCACCTATGGACCATACAAACCTCAGTGCATGTGTGGCTACATAGACCTGTTCAGCCCAAGATCATGTTAAGGCCTGTCAGTCTATGTTGGAATCCATGAAAATCATCTAGATTTTCCAGCGATGATTTTATTATACAGAAACCAGTACCATAATAGCTCAGCAGCTGCATGGAACTCATCAGAAGTCAGTGTCCTCGCTAGTGTCAGTTTTTGGCAGGTTGGTTGGTTTCTTGTTGCATTTTGAAATGTTGAACTTTTAAAATATCAAAGATTGTATACATGCATATGGTTCATAAAACAATTTTTTTAAAGTACTGAAATGCTTACATTCCATTTTGATGGTGATCCACAAGACACTATTATATTATATTATACCACATTCATACATCTGACAGGAAACCAAATACCAGAAAGATATTTTATTCATTGTCACATATTATGCATAAAGCATAGCTATAAATAGCACCGTTCAGACCAGTTTCCATGTTGACTGTATCTTGTCAGAATTCCAGTTCAGCATTTTCAGGAAGGAAATGGGACATAGATCTGTTCTTCAGCTAAAAGTTTAGAGAGAGAGAGAGAAAATGCTTTAAGACACTGCATTTTAAACATTAAGGGGTGTTCCACAAAGCAGGATTTCTTGTTAACTGGGATAACTTAAGCTGGATGTCATTATGTTCAGTAGGAATCCTCCTTACCTAAACTCTTGTTGGACAATCATGACTTCTAGCTAAGTTAACCCAGCTAATAAGAAATCCTGCCTTGTGGAACACTCCCCAGTCTTTTTTGGGACTCTAGTGGAGTAGATGACACAATAGATTACATTTAAGATCTTGTCACCCAAGTGCAGAGGAGGCGTGTCCCTTGGTAAAATTTGTGGACCAGGGAAGCAAGGATTCTCTGTAAATCGTTGCACATTTTGCGTGATCATCTGTTATCAAAACAGGCACTCTGGCAAGTTTGCTGGCTAAATGACAGCCTCAACTTACAGACCTACCAGGAAGCCATCTCTGGAACTAGGGGACCCCCTTCTGGACCTCAGCCATGTCCATCCTTCCCCACTGGCTGCCTTGCTGTACCCTGCTTTCGTACAGCTTATCTGACAGCACTGGTGCAGGATATGTTAAGGCTTTGACTAGGAGTATTTCAGCAAAGTCTGGAGAATGGCAGGATAAAAGAAGTGGCTAGGGCAGACCTGGGTAAATCTGGGGTCTATGTGATTATTAAAAAAAAAAAAAAAAAAACAGGAAAATTTCATGTTCAAATCTATTAAGATTTTTTATGCCTACAGAACACTCTTTGAACTAATAATACGTACAGCTCTGGAAAAACCACTCGATATTTTTTAAGAATCTGCATTGTTAAATCCTGGTTTATTCCTGATTCTGCTGGCAGAAGGCTACACTGAGCAGCAGGATGCTTCCAGGCTCAAAAATTCCCCATTACACAAGAATAAAAGACAACATTACACTAGAACAAGGTGAAGCAGGAGAAACAGACAATGACAGAAGCTAACTTTCTGATGCCAGAGTTGACGGTCAGCTTATCGAACAGTGCCTCATGAATCAGGGGATGACATGAAGTGACCTTCAAAAAGAGTGGGGAAGATTAAGTGGTATGAAGTGCACTGCTAGAGCAGTTAGTGCTGCTAGGACTCCTGGAAGCCCTTCATCAATGAGAAGCAGGGAAGAGCCAGGCTTTTGGAAACAATGCATATTTTACACAGACACGTTCCCATAAACAGAATTAAGTGAAACTAAAAAAGTTGCTGTGGTCTCAACATTTTGTCCAGAGCTGTACATGAGTTATAACAACACATATAAGTTATGCCTGTATTTTCAAAAAAGGGAAAAGCAAAATCTAAGTCTATTATTGTAGCTTTCATGGGACATGAAAATAATCATTAGCAAATGGCCCCTGTTAATATGATGAAGTATGGATTTGGTATCCATGGAAGGACTGTACCCTGCAAGAGATGCCAGGCCAGACAGGACACACACACATCTGAATTCATTTGTAAGGGAAAAACGCTATCCCCAACAATGGCAACCTTAACCATAAGTAACCAAACAAAATAGAAGACTTTCTGGCATTTTTAGTCTTTTGATTGCACTCACAGATTTTAATTTTTTTTAAATTGAGTTTCCCCTGTGGGGACCAAAAATGTTGTCCCCACATGTCAAAATAACAGGTTTTCATCCCATTGTGGGGATATTTGGTCCCCACGATGTAATATATACATATCCCACACACACAGATATAGTTCTCATAACTGATGTTACTCCTCCCAATGAAGCTAAATGATGAATGGCTGTAGGATATTTGCAGTCACAGGAAGGTAGAGGATCTCTGTCTCTGTGAGAATCTCTATCTGGTGAGAGAGGTGAGCCTCTTTGTCTGGGTCCTGAGGCTCCTGAGCAAATAGTTGAACCTGCAGGTCTGTCTTCATCCCTGCTGCCACCTGCAGGACAGAGAGGAAGATGAACAGAGTAACAGAAGACAGACATGGTGGATAATGCACCATGTCACAAAGCTCGAATCATTTCAAATTGGTTTCTTGAACATGACAATGAGTTCACTGTACTACAATGGCCCCCACAATCACCAGATCTCAACCCAATAGAGCATCTTTGGGATGTGGTGGAACGGGAGCTTCGTGCCCTGGATGTGCATCCCACAAATCTCCATCAACTGCAAGGTGCTATCCTATCAATATGGGCCAACATTTCTAAAGAATGCTTTCAGCACCTTGTTGAATCAATGCCACGTAGAATTAAGGCAGTTCTGAAGGCGAAAGGGGGTCAAACACCGTATTAGTATGGTGTTCCTAATAATCCTTTAGGTGAGTGTATAGTATAAAGACAGACAGTCTGCCAAGGGGGAACACTGCCACAGTGGCAAATGGTAACAGACTCACAGGGCCAGGCTGGTAGGTTACTCTGAGGCCAGTGGAAGGAGGCACCTGCTTCACACTGAACCTGGAACAGCAGGGAACAGTGAGATTCAGGCATACGCTGCAGGTACTGCTATGTCCTCCCTTCAACAATTATGATCAAAGGATGATGAATAGCACATAGGAATCAAATGCCATCTTGACCTGACTCTGTTAGACTCGGCTGTCAGCAGGTGCATCGAGGCAGGTCATGATGTGGGGTCCTTACCTGCAGGAGTCGAGTCCTACGTTTCTCATGATTACAGGCACAGAGTACGTAGCCCCACCCCTCAGCATGCCGAAGTCTATGTTAGTGGGGAGCAGTTCAAACCCTCGCAGGGCGGCCTTCGCAACCCCGGCCAGGGCCGACACCGACGCGGTGCGCAGAGTCCTCCTCACGGGCTCCTCGGCTCTTAGAAACTGGCCAAAGGAAGGCAAAAACCGGAAAATGGCTGAATGTGCCATGTGAAATGCAGTGATACACAGAAGACTAATACAATAAAAAAGGTTAAGTTCTCATGTCACTTAGAATACATTTTTAATGGCTCCAAGAGTTCATAGTTTAAATCAGTGTTTCCCAACCCAAGAAGCTGGGAGGGAGCAAAACCCTGGGCTGTCAGCAGCCATACCGCCTGTAGTTCAGACTATATAATCCATCTGAAGCTAAGCAGGTTTGGGCTGGGCTAGTACTTGGATGGGAGACCAGCTAGGAAAGCTGAGTTGCTGCTGGATGAGGTGTTGATGTGGCCAACAGGGTAGCCGATCCTGTGGTCTGTGTGGATCCCAATGTCCCAGTGCAGTGATAGGGACACTGTGCTTTAAACATGGTGCTATCCTTCGGATGAGATGTAAAATTGAGATCCTGACTCTCTGAGGTCGTAAAAAATCCCTGGGCACTATTCAAAAGAGTAGGTGTGATACCCCAATGCCCTGGCTAAAATCTTTCAATTCTAGCTTCCTAACCATCCCCTGTATATAACGGGTGAATTCTCTCCTGCTCCTTCACCACATTAGCTACTGTGTGGGAAGCGTACTGGCACAGAATGGCTGCTGTTGCATCATCCAGGTGGGTGCTTCACAGTGGGGGGTGAAGTGGTTCTGTAAAGTACTTTGGGTATTGTGAAAAGCGCTATGTAAATGTAACTTTCATTCATTCTGTCTAGGGGTCCCCAAGGACCAGGTTGGGGAAAAACTGGTTTAAATGGGGAAGGTGTGTGTGCTGGTACCTTGTGATTGGGCAGGCTCCAGGGCCTGGCAGTGAGGAGAACAGGGGGCAGGCACACCCTCTCCTTGCGTGGGCTTCCTGTGACATCCATGGCCAGGCTGAGTGATCTGCCCCTCCTCTTTGTCACAGACAGTGGCCCCTGCAAGCTCACACCTAAAAGAAGACCATTAAAGGTCACTTTTGGCTTAATGGTTGACTAGTGATGTAGATTCCCTGCAAATGTCCTGTCTGTTGCACTAAAGCATCTCCAAACATGACTGTAACATGAGAACATCCTGTCTCAGAGACACTGCTAGTCCATTCATTCAATGTCTGTTGCCTGCATTCTTCGCCTGTGTAGCAGGAACTAACCTTCTGAATCCTGGGGTCCTTGTCTCCTGAAGTCCCTATATCTAGGGTCCAGTGGAGGGACCTCCATCTGCACCTCAGAGCTGAGATCATGGCCATTCACTGAATAAGATACATCAGAAGTGGGCCTGACCCAAGGTGCCAAGGTCACATACAGTCAGACCTAGACCACTATATAAAACACCAACACTGGGGTAGAGGCTCTCAAATGACCATCATCTATCTGTGCTCTTATTTGGTTTCTAAACAGCTGTGTTGGGTAGGGCTACACTATAGATATAGTAAAATTAACAGAACTTCTACTGTCCATGAAATACATAGCATTTCATATGCTTACACCAGCATATGCCTATGGTAGTAAATATTATGACACCTGACTGGACTGTGACATTTACAGTATCTTGCAAAATTATTCATCCCTCTTGGTGTTTGTCCTGTTTTCTCACATTACAAGCTGGAAATAAAATGGTCTTTGGGGGGGGGTTAGCACCCTTTTATTTACGCAACATGCCTACCACTTTAAAAGATGGAAAATATTTTTTATTGTGACACAAGCAATAATTAAGATTAAAAAACAGAAATCTTAAGTGTGCATAGGTATTCACTCCCTTTACTTTGAAACCTGTAAATAAGAGCTGGTCCAACCAAATAACTTTATAAGTCACAATTAGTTGATTAAGATCCACCAGTGTGTGATCAAAGTGTCACATGACATTAGTATAACTCAACCTGTTTTGATAGGACTCTGCCTCTTCAATACTACTAAGCAAGCAACATGAAGACCAAGGAGCATTCCAAAAAGGTCAGAGACAAAGTTATGTACATACAGTAAGAACATAAGAAATTTACAAACGAGAGGAGGCCATTCGGCCCATCAAGCTCGTTTGGGGAGAACTTAGCTAATAGCTCAGAGTTGTTAAAATCTTATCTAGCTCTTATTTAAAGGAACCCATGGTTTTAGCTTCCACTACAATAGCAGGAAGACTATTCCATACTCTGACTACACGCTGTGTAAAGAAGTGCTTCCTCAAATTTGTTTTAAAATGTTCTCCCGCTAATTTCCACTTATGGCCACGAGTTCTAGTATTTAGACTAATATTGAAATAGTCATTTGGCTGAACAGCATCCAGACCCGTTAGAATCTTATAGACCTGAATCATATCCCCCCTTAGTCTCCTTTGCTCAAGGCTGAACAGATTCAATTCCGCTGACGTGAGAACTCTGCCTATAGCTACCTCTCTGGAGGGGTAGAAGTATATATCAGGGTTGGGTTATGAAAACAGATCCGAAACTTTCAATATCCCATGGAGCGCCATTAAGTCCATTATAGCAAAATGGAAAGTATATAGCACCACCATAAACCTGACAAGAGAAGGCTGCCCACCAAAACTCAAAGACCAGGCAAGGAGGGTATTAATCAGAGATACAACAAAGACACCAAACATAACACCGAAGAAGCTGCAAAGATCCACAGTGGAGATGGAAGTATCTGTCCATAGGCCTACTTTAAGCCATACATGCCACAGAGCAGGGCTTTATGGAAGAATGGCCAGAAAAAAGTCATTACATAAAGAAATAAAACTTGTTTGGAGCATGTGTCAGACTCCCCCAACACGCGGGAGAAGATTCTCTGGTCAGATGAGACTAAAACTGAACGTTTTGGCCACCATGGGAAATGCCATGTGTGGTGCAAACCCAGCACTTCCCATCACACCCAGAACACCATTCCCACAGTGAAGCATGGTGGTGTTTTATGAACGTTGCTATGGCAACGTTTTTCATCTGCAGGGACAGGAAAGCTGGTCAGGATTGAATGAAAGATGGTTGGCACTAAATACAGGGCAATTCTTGAAGAAAACCTGCTTGAGTCAGCCAGAGATTTGAGACTGGGATGAAGGTTCACATTCCAGCAGGATAATGACCTAAACATACTGCTAAAGCTACACTGGAGTGATTTACAGGGAAACACTCCAAATGTCTTGGAATGGCCTAGTCAACGCCCAGACCTCAATCCAATTGAGAATCTGCGGCATGATTGAAGATTGCTGTAGACCCTTCTAACTTGAAGGAGTTGGAGCAGTTTTGCCTTGAGGAATGGGCAAAAATTCTAGTGGGTAGATGTGCTAAGCTAAAAGAGACATACCCCAAGAGACTTGTACCTGTAATTGCAGAAATTGGTGGCTATACAAAGTATTGAATTTGGGGGGTAAATACCTATGCACACTCAAGATTTCTGTTTTTTTTTATGTTAATTACTGTTTGTGTTACAATAAAAAAAACATTTTGTACCTTTAAAGTGGTAGGCATGTTGTGTAAATCAAATGGTACCAACCCCCCCCCCCCCCCCAAAAAAAAAAATCTATTTTAATTCCAGATTGTAATGTGAGAAAACAGGACAAACACCAAGGACGATGATACAAGGAGGATACTTCTGCATGGCACTGTACATATGCAATGCTCCGATGTGAGTGTGACATACAGCTGGGCTCAGCAGCCTGCGAGGTGGGACTGACACGCCATCCCTGGAATGCTGCATCACTTCCTGTGGCGTACGAAGGGCTTGGTTTCAAAGATTGCTTGGCTGCAGCAAGAACAAACAGACCAGATGTATTGTCCAGTCTCCAAGCACAGCTCTTTCACTCAAGTCAGGGAAATTAATACTGCTCTCATATTTAGAAGTAAACCTTTATCAGAACTCTTGTTTGCTCAGACACATTTCTTGGCACAGACAGTGCATAAATTGGTAGGTTTCTTTAATCAAAGAAGACTTCTTTAAAATGCCGGAAAGTTTAAAAAATAACTGTGACTTTATATTAAAGCTAGTTTGATTCAAGGGTGCAATAGTACAGCTCCTACTGAGATGTCTAACAGCAACACTGTTTGCTATCGTAAAAAGGACATGTATATGTGCATCAGGCACAGAAGACCCCTGTGAGCTGTGAATAAGTCACAAAAAAAAAAGTCTGAGATGGCATTACTGAGGGCACAGGTGTTACTGGCATCTTGAAGAAACTCCTGGATTTGTGGGTTTGGTCCCGACCTGGGAAGTGGTGGCAGTGCTTGGGAAAGAGCCTCCATGTCAGAAACCTTTAGGGGGAAAACACACACTGACAAGAGCGATATCAAAAACATTACTAATTTAGAACCAGGGGTCAGAAATGATTCAGAGGGGCATGTGAAGCATGCACAGGGCTTGATATACTGGGCACAGAGAGATCAGCCTTTGACCCTAAAAACAAGGCATTACATCACAATGTGGTCACAGGATACACTGGGCTAATATAGCCCAGGACTACTGATACAAGGATACACAGCCTACGCAGCATAAGAATAAGGGTTTGACTCTAGCTGTTATGCTACACTCTTGGGTTTGCTGACACTGACGGTAACAGTACCTCCTGTGTGAACTGGAACGCCATCCAAACGTCAGAGTGAAAATACGGCGACAAACGTCTGGTTCTCAGAGCTTCTCGCATCTGACCCTCTTCTCTGAGCTCCTGTCTGGGTCACAGTGTCAAAGATGTCAGTTTCAGTTTAAACAGCAGAAAACTAGGCAGAAGCGTAGACAGTTAGAAGGCCCTGAACCCATGAAGAATAATAACTTTCATCAGGTACAGAACAGTCATATCCATGCATGTTGAGGAGTAAATGCCTGCTCTAACATACCACTCAGGTTAACATAGGAAATGTGATGTGAGCATCTAAAACATTGACAGAGAGACTCTGTTACCTGTACTGCTCCATCTTTCTTGGCCACAAGGACTCCTCCTTTCTGCCAAGGTTGCAAGTAACAGTAAAAATGCTAATGGTGTACAAAATACAGTGAAAGACACTATGCACATTTGTTACAACTATATGTCCTTTTACAAACACTATTTGAAACAAAATTCCATTTAGATTATACCTCAGTCAATGCACTGGCACAATTAGTCAGATTCAGCCATTTAAACACAGGCGTGAGACAGCAAGACAGCACAATGCCCCCCAAAACAGTAACCTGCTTGGAGCAGGAGAGGCTTGAGTAGCCAGTGCTGTGGGGATTGGGAAATAGGACCACAGGACCTACCTGTCAAGGACCCTGTTGAGACCAAAGCCATCTGCAACAGTGCCATCAGGTGGTGGCGATGGGGAGAGTGCTTGAGCATATAAGGCAGCCATGTCCACTATCATGTGACATGATCAATCAGGTCCACAACACATACCAGTGTGGTAGCCAGTCATATCAGCACAAAACAATATATGCAAAATATAATCAGCGGTGAGCTGTTACTCTGTTCTCTACTAGTCTTATAATGCCTATAACAAACTCCTGGGTCCAGAGTTGTATCTGGACCCAGAACACCTTCAGCCAATGGACTTCATACGCACCAGAGCCATTTCTCTCTTCCATGGTGTTGTTCAGGTCCTTCATGTCTGGCAGAGACTGGAGAGACCCCAGAGTGGCTCAGACTCGGTCAGTTGCTCTAAGAAGGTAATGTCAGCATAGTGAGGGCAGCTGCCTGCTCACCAGGACCAGGTGCAGGGGTTCAGCAGCGTGGATCCTCTCCTCCTTTTCACGTGGTTCCTTCACCTGCAGCTCCTCAGACAGGTGGGCCCTCCTCAGCAGGTGTTTTATGTATTCCTGCACCAGAAGATACGTGCATATGATCAGTCAGGCAAAGACACGTGCTGAAGTTATAATAGGATGAGACGCATCTTTCTTTGGCCTTTGTATTGCCATTTGCCTACAACAAAAGTGAAGTTGCACATCTTCCCCAGAAGCCAGATCAAGACTCCAAGTTCCCCTCATGGGAAATCTAGACATATCACCTTATACCAGGTCTGATCAGCCTTGCCATACCAGATTCTCAGCCTCACAGACAAAGCAGGAGGAGAACAAAACTGTCAGCCTGCACTAAATGGGGAAATGAGGTCCCAAGGTCATGTAGGTGGCACTGTATGGCCATCATTCAGCACTGAATTAACCCACTTCTATTTTCATACTTTTGTGGTTCCCAATGAGTGATTTTCCTTGTGATAAAAGAAACAAGGCCTTGAAACATAGTGTGGGCAGGAATTCCGTGTACTATCAGTCTCTGAAAATGTATGGTCATAATGGCAAGAGTTTCACAATACAAAGGGTGAAAATGACCATTGTAAGGAAGGTACAGTGTGTGATGCAAAACATGGACTTTGAGTTGATAGTCCCCAGTATATAAAAGTTTGTCACCAGAGTGGACACTGATCAATTTTACATGTGGGCTGCAATAAGAACACATCAGTCCCCCACCTTAAGGCGCCTCTCCAGCTCCTGCCGCAGCTGGTTGCTGACTGGCTGGTATTGTATGATATGGCGCACCTCCAGCAGCTCAGGGCAGGCTTGCAGGGGGGGGTGCAGGGGCGAGCGTTGCCTCTCACTCTGGCTCGGGTCCCTGCTCATGCAAGTGCCAGTTGGGGGGTCGGGCAGCTTGCTCTGAAAGCCCAGAATCGGCCAGCACAGTACAGTTTGTGTTACTTCAATAATAATTCAACAGTAATTTATCATTTTTTACAAGGGCCACGGATAACATTTTTCCATCGTTCTTTTTACAGCCAAAAAAGCAGACTCATTGTTCCAGTTCCTGAGTAAACAGAAACAAGGTGAGAACTCTGCCTATAGCTACCTCTCTGGAGGGGAACAAGTCCCACTTCCTGGACCTGAGGTTGAGAGGCATGATGTCTGGGTTCTGCTTCTGGATGATCCAGCGGGAGGCGCTGTCCTTCAGGCAGGGCTTCAGTACTGTAATCCCCAGAACCCCTGAGGAACACAGGGCTACAGATGTCATTATGAGCCAATACACTGCCAGAAAGTCACTTTGCATGCAACTTCAAAGCTCAAGGATTTTATGTATGTGTACGTGGTTTCTGAGACTAGTGTATGTCATTCTAACATAGGCTATAAGACTGGTGACCCACCTGGAAACTCAGGCATCGCTTCCTTAAGCACCGCAACCTTTGGGTCAGCTTGTGCCTTGTCCAGGCAGTCCTCAACATCCTCCAGACTCAGCAGCTCAGTGCCAGAACCGTCAGGGTGGACAACAAAGAACCTGGAACACAGGTCATTCAGGGAGTGTTTTGCATTTTTTTGGACATGTCAGTATTCCAGCTGAACCACTTCAAAATACAACCTGAAAATGAAAGCTGGAAGTAAAATGTCAGCATAAAAATTGACTAGGTAAAGGTAGCAAGTAAGAGTAAGGAATACATACACACTAGTGGAAGAATGCTGAATATTCCAAAATAAAAACACTTCCTGAAGTCTTTAGGGAGGAGCAAATAATCAGCAGTCCGTGGTAAAGAGATGACAGATACCACCAACAGTCAAAGCATCCAGAAAAAGTTCCCAAAACAAAAACTCGAATGAGAGACATTTAGGGCTACCTAGCTGAGGATCCTCTGAGCCCTACACAGGAGGACCTGGACATCTTTGCTCCTTTCCCATTTCTCTCCTGCTGTTCTTCCTCTTCTCCTTCCTCCTCTCCTTCCCAGTGATCTTCAGTCCTTGAAATATTGGTGTAGGTTTCTCCATCTACCATCACCTGGAAGCATGCATATCGATTAATCAGATCAAATTAACAACTATGAATAACTAAAGATTTACTTCCTCTGTTGTTCAGACTATGTTTGTGGCTGTTTAGCGGTGATTTCACACTCTTAAAAATCAGCTTAGATCCCTTACGAGCACAAAATCATCCATCAAAACATGAAAAAGGACTCTGTACAAACTGGGTCATACAGAGCTACAAAGAATTCATACTGATGGCAGAAAAAAACAGCTGAAGATACCAATTTTATTTAAGCACTTATCTGGGGTTATGGATTGTATATGTATATATATAAGGGTTAATTTATGCTATTATATACACACACACACACAGGCATACATGTTCGTACCTTAAAGTGGTTCTCCTCTGGGTCTGTGACCTCACATACAACCTCACTAGTATGCTTCATGACATAGTTACCAGGCTGCAGTTTTTCATTATCGCCACCAGAGGTCAGTGCTGTATTATTGCTGTGGTGCGAGGTGTATACAGTGCTACCATCCTCATGGATGTGGAGAAAACCACCACTCGATGGGACAACCTTAGGGGATACAATATTGTCAGAGATGTGTTATTTACCCATCATAACAGTAAAAAGTTGATTCAAACCGACCACTGTCGCACACCTGATAGACGTGATTTGTACCTGGTACTCTCCCCTGTGAGTGGCTTTAATGACGGTCCCATCTCCAAACAGAGCACTGCAAGCTGTCTTGTCACAGCTCATCACCACAGTGGCAAACCCCTCACATTCCACCATTACCAGCTTCTCCTTCCTGCGCTCAGTGGCTGTAGAGGAATTCATGCCACACAGCTTGGAAGTCATTTTATTGAACTCATTTCCTGTTTTTGGCCTTAACACTTTATTACAGCTCTAACAATAAACCCTGTCATGACTGAAAGCAGTACAGATTAGCTAAGAGCAAGCAAGGGAAGGACGCTGGGTTAAGTAAGTGCCACGTAAATCACGGCCATGTAGCATGGGAATGAAATAGCAGCACAATTACTGCTAAATAATTTTGGGGTCTTAGTATGACTATACATCTAGTCACATAATTTAGCAACACTGATACTAATCTGACTAGTTAAATTTCCAGCAAAGTCCTCCTGTAGTGCCCTAAATGGAGGGATTTAACTTGAATAGCTGTATAAATAAGTAACCTTGCGTCCCAGCTCCTTCAATGTCTCTGTAGAAGGTTGTGATCCTGGTGCCGTCGGCATGTTCGGCGATAATCGTCCCGTCACTCTGCACCACGATGAGGACTCCGTCCTCTCTGGTAACCACGATCTGTCGCAGATAAGATATACACAGCAGATTATGCAGTGCAACAAATTGGTATATAAATTCAAACTAAATAAAACTTATCATACTTATATGTACGATGTCACAAAGTTCTGCACAGGGAATTTTTGGACAGGGAGGAAAAAACAAGAAACAGAGTTTTACTATATATATAAATATACACTCACCTAAAGGATTATTAGGAACACCATACTAATATGGTGTTTGACCCCCTTTCGCCTTCAGAACTGCCTTAATTCTATGTGGCATTGATTCAAGGTGCTGAAAGCATTCTTTAGAAATGTTGGCCCATATTGATAGGATAGCATCTTGCAGTTGATGGAGATTTGTGGGATGCACATCCA